TGAGCATCCACACAAAGGGATTAAGCTCTAGTTCACTAAAAATTACCAAGAAACAGATTACAATGTATGAAGAAATCAGAGATTTCTTCAATTTGTTCTCGCCTCAAATCACTCAAAATATACACAATCTCACAGAAAATAGATCAAGTGTCCTCATTGCCTTATCACTCAGAAATATACAGAAATCATTCAGATTTACAAAACGGCAGAAAGAAAGAGATGAACCCTAATCACGCAGAGAGAAATTTCTCAAAAGACATTGAACAGTTCCACAGAGAATGAAGCTCCGAGAGTCACTTTAAGGCAGGGAGTCCAAGGGTTTTCACCAACGGTGGAGATCGGCCAAGTGTAAGGCCAAATTACAAAGCCAAGATAAATAAGTTTTGGGCCAAAGATCCGGTACAGCACTGGCCCAACACAATCAACTGGGCCAAAGAATTATGAGGTAGCCCAATTCATAACAATCTTCACCTTGCTGAATAATTCTTGATGACTTAGTGTACTAAAGAACCAATATGTTTCATTTGCTCTTATTTAACCTGTAAAAATAAAAATATAGAAAAGTTAGAATTAATTTCCACACAGTCCTACTTGATTATTCTAAAGATTACTGTAGATCAGTAATATTTAAAGTATCCAAGTAGTTTCTGAATTTATTTAAAGGTAAAACTTTGATTCCCAAATCAGAAGGGTTAAACTCAATTAAAATTTTCTCTAAACTAATCAAACCTTTTTCAGCCATGTNTTTATTTAAAGGTAAAACTTTGGTTCCCACATCAGAGGGGTTAAACTCAGTTGAAATTTTCTCTAGGCTAATCAAACCTTTTTCAGCCATGTTCCTCGCAAAGTGAAACTTAATATCAACATGTTTATTTCAATCATGATACATGAGATTTTTGCTTAGATGTATAGCACTTTGATTATTAGTGTAAATTTTGACAGAATTATTTACAAAGTCAATTTCATTAAGTAACCCTCTTAACCAAAGATTTTCTTTAACAACATCATAGGCAGCTATGTATTCTGCCTATGTAGAAGACAAGGCAACAAGTTTTTGCAATTGAGATTTCCAGTTTTTGCAACCATCACACAAAGTGAAAACATAAGAAGTGGTAGATCTTCTCTTATCTAAATCTCCAGCAAAATCAAAGTCAGTATAACCTTTCAAAACAATGTCTTCATCACATTTTTTATAGAGTAGACCTAAGCCAGTTGAACCTTTCAAGTATTTTAACATACATTTCATAGCAATCAAATGTGTCTCACCGGGATTAGCCATAAATCTACTTAA